ATATATATATGCACTAAGCACAGCATACAAATTGAAGGAGTCACTCTACTGTGTAAACCCTGCAGTAAAAGTAGTAGAAATGAATGAGAGTCCGATATATGAGGATGCTCCTGAGAGAATTAAGGGATCTAAGATAAAAAACAATTGATATAAAACTTCATTCCAATGAAAGAGGTCTTCTTAGAGTGTTCTTTAAAGGATGTCCAAACCGCTCTTCCAAGAGTAGTTCATATGTGGAACTGTCTTTACTAGTATGATAGGGCTATTATACCTCACAAGTATTCTTCCTACTACTTAGCAGGCATAAATTTTGTTGTAGCCACAGCAAAATGAAGTCCCAGCAGACTTCTCTGGTTAATAAATAAGTTTGATTTTTGTCAAAAACATACAACAAATATCATGAATAATAGATAAACATTCATATATCCCCACTTCTTTCGGATATACGGATGTAAAAACCTCAGGCGTATGTATTAGGTTCCAAAAGGTATTCATGCCAAGTGCTAACATCATAGGAGTATCTATGGTATTTAGGACAATCAAGTGCATGGGGGTGTTTCTCACCCATCACAATGTTTGATGCGTGCAAGCACGCCAAGAATCCACGAATTTACTCAAAGCATCACGATGATATCGCCTCTTGTTGTGAAATTGTGACTACCAAGTACGTCCAGCATAAAATTTAAACCTTTTTCCTCAATTTCAATCCAGCAGAAAGATAATTGCAAGAAAACTAAATGCATCGAATCAGCTCTTCTCTTTCCGCTTATACCAAGACAGGATCAAGAGAAGTTTTTGGGTCCATCGTGATCCAAACAAGATATAAATCTTTTTCGAGCATAGCAAAAGAAGAGGACTAATTAGGGAACGTCGGAGGGCGGCAAGCAACCTACCGGCGGATGCGATTACCCTGGTCGACCTGGTACATTCCGCAAGAGAAGGCGACGAGGAAGATGGCGGCAGCGTTGGAGCCCTTGATGGGGATGCGCCGGGCGCACCTCACGGGCGGGAATCCGCCCGGCGGCGGTCCATCCTGGAGGAGCGGCATCTCCCTCACGCTCGTCATCCCCGGCTTCTTCTACACCACCGCCTCCGTCATCCTTACCTGATCACCACGACGATCGCCGAGCTCCTTCCTTTCCTCCTTCTCCTCTCCTCCGATCTATCGAACGGATCGATCCAATAGTTTCAAGTGGTAGGCAAGTGTGGCGAAGTAGTAAACAATGCTATATATATTTTATGGTGTCGCATCTATATTCGCGGGCACTATATATATATATATATATATATATATATATATATATATATATATATATATATATATATATATATATGTGTGTGTGTGTGTATGTATGTATTTATGTATGTATGTATTTATATATATGTATGGATGTATTTATATATGTATGTATTTATATATATATATATGTATATATATATGTATGTATGTATGTACATATAAATATATATGTAAATATATAAATGTATATATATGTATACATATATATATATATATAAATATATATATATATATATATATATATATAAATATATATATATATATATATATATATATATATATGTGTGTGTGTGTGTGTATATATATACACACATATATATACACATATATATACATAATATATATAAGTAAATAAGAAATAAATAAAATAAATAAATGGTTCCCAAATTTATTATTTTAAAAATCAAATGCTAAACTATATGGACCATATTTTTGCACTATTAATTAGAAAAATAGATATCAATGGAAGCACCAATTGATGTAGTATGTAAAGTCTTCTGAACACTGATTGATGGCCCATTGCAAATAAATATTTATCATATTGTGACAAGTTGTCGAAGAGAAAATGAAGTATGTTTTGCATATATATTTGTGACTTGTTGACAATCAGCATGAATCTTGACACAGTGTTAGTACATTTGTTGCATGTTCGAATGTATCGACACAATATACATAACTCGACATATATCACCGTTTCTGAGACTACAGTGGTTAAGACTATGTGCAGAGTCAGAATTTTGAGCCCCAAGCTCCCCAAAAAATTTTGGGGTAAAAACAAATAACACTTCAGCTTCAGCATATTTTCTGAGAGTGGATTTCATATTCTTTTTTCACCAAGGTTGACTTTGCAGCTCCAGAACCTAATAGAGATCCTTGTGTGCTGATCGAGAATCATGGAAGCATCATGTCAGAACTATGGACTGTGGTCTTCCGAAATCTTCAGTGCATTTGTATAAGCCATCTGGATAACTACTTGTCAGCTCAACAACCAAGATTCAGCATAGACTTCTCATGCATCTTTTAATTATTGGAAGATAAGATTCTTACAAGACAGCTGCATCATTCCAAGAACTCGGTCTTTGATTTCAAGAAGTATCCTACATGAATCCAAAGAGTCAGCGCTTACAAGCAACTTCAGTCAGCTCAGAAAGATGCCATTACCAAGAAATAATAATAATAATAACATAGAGTGGCTCCTTGCAAATGATAAATTCTTTTTACATCATTGATAAATTTCCTTGTAGGTCATTAAAATAATTTTTTTATAAAAGTTGCTATAGAGATGAATGAGTGAGAAGTAAATGATGATACATACAAGAATTGCATCTTACTTCTATTTTGATATTGCGCCCATTTTATCATAATCTCTAATAAAGCAGCCTTACAAACACCACATGAACTATTTAACAGCAATGCTGAGAAGTTTTCAGGTTTCAACTTTTGATGAAAGATATATAACAAAGAAAGAATGGAAAAATAACATGCCTACATGGTTCTCCTGTACAACAACCAACTAGTTTAGCAGTAATAGGTGTCTCCAAATCAAAGAACAAGGAATAAGGGATGGAAATGTTAACAGCCAAGAAGCTAGAGATTAACGTACCAGCTCAGATTTTCCTCTACTGCCTTCAAAAGAGTGTAGTACCTTCTTTAAATTAGCATGAACAGAAAAAGCAAGACTTCCATCTTTGGCAGCAGCAGAACTTTTCTGCCATCCAGTGACAGAGGAAGAATTAACTTCCAACTGCTATGAGGAAATGGCTCACATGATCATTTGGTGGGTCAAATCCAAAAAAAAAGAAAAAAAAAGAAAACAATAGCTAGAAGAAGCAACAGTTGTTATCACTAATCAACCGGTTGGGGGATCTCTTTGAAAAGATCGAGAATGGGAAAATTTTGATTCAACCGTTTCAAAGAATCTTCGGAGAAGACATTTCTCATGGCCAGATCTTTAGCCAATTCCATGGCCTCAGCTTTATGGCCAGCATAAGCAATACCTTCAACCAGAATAATATAGGTAGTTTCATTGGTTCGACATCCTTTGTCCATCATCTCCGCAAGTATATTAATTGCCATATCAATCCTGTGAACCTTGCACAATCCGAGGAGAACCGTATTGTATGTGATAACCATTGGCTGGAAACCACTACTCTCCATATCCCTCATCAGACCAATGGCCTCATTTACCATCCCATCCCTGCATAAACACGAAATCAGGACATTGTATGTAACCTCATCAGGGTCAACTCCCTTATTGATCATTTCCGAGACCATCTCGAGAGCCCTCGAACGGTTCCCGCTGTTCCAAAGCCCTCCTATGATCACATTATATGTGCTAACATTTGGGGAACAGCCTGTCTCAGCAAGCATGTCCAGAACTTCCAAAGCCTGATATGGATTTCCGCTCTTGCAGAGAGCCGACAGGATCGTGTTGTAGTTCACTATATCTGGTAGACAACCATTAGAGATCATATAGTTCATGAACTCTATAGCCAGATCCAATTTACCATCCTTGCAATAAGCAGAGATCAATGGGTCATAGCTATAAGCGTCAGGCTTCAGTCCCCTTCTGATCATGTCCTTGAGCAATTGCTTTGCTCTCTCAACCTTGCCTTCATGACACAGAGAATTGATCAAAACACTGTAGGTGACATTGTTGGGTTTCAGACCTCTTTCAAGCATTTCACCGATCAACTTCTCTGCGTCCTCCCATCTCTTTCGACTCAACAACCCACGAAGCAAGATGTTGTACGAAATCACGTCCGGGTCGCAACCTCTCGACGGCAGGCTCTTCAGGAACTCATGGGCCGCGTCCACCATCCCTTCCTTGCACATCCCGCGAATGATGGCATTGTACGTGTAGTTGTCAGGTCGAAGCCCCTGCGACACCATCTCGTCCAAAAGCTTCATCGCGTCGCCGATTCCACCTTGCAGCAACGCCGCCTCTATCAGAATCGTGAACGTGATCACCGTCGGCTGGCACTTGTCGTCCAACAGCCGGTCCAGAGCCTCCAACGCCAGATCCAGCTTCCCCCTGCTGCAAAGACTGCCGATGAGGATGTTGTACGTCACGATATCAGGCGGGCAGCCCCGGCTCTTCATCCGGCCGAGTACCTCGATGGCCGCCTCGATGCGGTTGGCCTTGCAAAAGCCGCTGATTAGGGCATTGTAGGCAAAGACGTCGGGCTCGCCGTGGGCTTCCAGGATGTCCAACACCCTGACCGCCTTGTCGAGCTTCCTCGAACCAAACAATCCCTTGATGAGCTTGGTGCAGAGGATCACGTCGGGCTTGTACCCTTTGCCCACCATGTACTCGAGGAAGTAGAGCGACTCGCTGAACTTTCCAGCTTTGCAGGACCTGTTGAGGAGCTTCACGTAGTGGGACTCCCCGGAATCTGGGATTTGAGGTCGGGAGGCTTGGGTTCCTGAAGAAGCCCTCGCGACCTGGTGGCGCTGTGGCGACGGGACACCTGGATTCCGGCATCCGTAGGCGATGGCATGGGGGGCGACGGAATTCATGCGGGGGGTGGATGAAGGCAGGCACTGGTGGAGGAAGACTTCATGCAGAGCGTTCATCGTGGCATCTGTGAGCATGACAGAGCTCACCGAGAGGGGCAGCAGCTCAAGCGTTGGAGGTCGAGGATATAAAGAGTTCCGGATAAGGAACATTTGTTGGGGAAGTAGCCGCAGCGAGATGCAGTAGTATCAACCATTCAATTGGACCGTATCTGATTCATCTGCTGATCACTGCTTTGTGCGGCTCAATGCGATACCCAAACCATGTGACTGTAGCATAGTCGGAATAATAATCTTCATGTTTTGACATTAATAATTCATAAGATTTTCCATGGGAAAATAGTAATACTGTACTTACTACAATATTTATGATACAATTAGGGTTGACTTAGAGATAATAGTCAACCAAACTAACAATGACACATCAGTTTGCAGATATCATTGACTTTTTTAAAGGGAGCAGTATCATAAAATTAGAGATTAATAGCTGAAGATAACACCTTAAACAGTTTTCCTGTGGTAGGCAGTCAATTTAGTAGACTTTCCCAACATGTATTTTTTCCTGAGCAAGTCTTCAGCAGAATGGGTTTCAGATCTTTGACTCCCTTGATGATCTCTTCATGCTTGGATTGTTGAGGCAGGAAGAACTGTGAAAAAGGGAAGTGGACAAATGACAAAATCAAACATCATGATGATGATTCAACATAAGGTTTCTCAATGCAGCAACAGATCTGGTAATGAAAATAATCGTCATGCATGGACCTTCAAAATCCACAGTAAATATGCAGCGCTATATCGTGCTTGATCTTGTGTATCATCGAATTCATCAGGCGAGATGTTCAGGCAGGACTTTACAAGCTGTAACTCTTTAGCAAGAAATTTTTTGATTTTGGAGCTAATAAGATTGTCATCAGGATCCAGGATGACTGCTCCTTCGTTGGTCGTGAAGTGTTTTATCCAACATTGAGAGAGGAACCGGCGATGGATCCATAAGGCCTTGAAAAAATATCCAAACGAAAAGAAATTATGTTGTCTGAAAACTCATAAAATTTAACTGTGGTTTCATAAAAATCATAAAACCTTTATTGCTAAGAGAGCAACACAAACATTTACAACAATCTAGCGATATTGAATATATGAACCAAACCTCTCTTCCAATATAGCGAGTTAAGAGCAACTCATTCCATTGGAGCTCTTCCTGAAAGGAAAAAAAGATAATTCGCAGTTTTTTTTTAATCTTATTGCAATAGTTAAGAAAACATCATTGTGTCTTAGTAAGGAACAAGAAAGCAAATTTGTGGCATTAGGTGTCATGAAAATGGCAGACATAACAAAATATTAGGCCATGTGGATATGAAATTTGAGCGGTGAGGATGACATGAATTATGTAATTGTAACCGATATGCAACTAAAGCTGATGCAAATTTAACAAGATAGTATGCAATAAAAATCAACCGGTAAATGTAGTACTAAGTTAACAATGCATATGGATTATAGCTGAGACAAGTTAAAGAATAAGCTAGCAATATCAATTACTACAGTTATAAATTACACTTCGTTTGACAAGCATTGCCTATGACACTTAACAAACCAAGAAAGCAACCAAATGACAATCATCCAAAGCATGTTCAGCTCAGCAGGTTGAATAATCTCTTTCAAGAAAAAAAAGCTGCAGTAACCATATACATGGTAAAATTGGCAGTAAGAACATGTTGATCAATTGGAGTTGAGAGTTGCTTGTAGGCCACCCAAGAATAGGATGTGGCTCAAGTAAAACTATAACTGAAATGACTGACATTCTGGACAGGATCATATACTGTTGATACTGAAGTCAGAAGTTGATGGTACTGTAATGAATCAGATGGGATGTGGCAATGTGGTTTTGGGATGCAAAAGGTGTTGCTGCAGTGTCATTGTTGGTGGTTGCATTATCTTAGTAAAAAGGGGTGTCAGAAAATTTTACGGCTTTAGATAAAACCAATTGAATAAGGCATGAATGAGGTAATGGCTTAAAAAGATATCAACAGTAAAATCTTCAGAAAGAAGAGAAAGAAAAAGGCAAAGAAAGAGTAAAAACAAAAAGGAATATGATTACTTTGCCCAAGAGGAATTACATCACAGGCTTTAAAATTTTAATGAATTCCCGGGAGATCAAAATGCCCTTTCAAAATACTTCTAATGCTTTTCTAATCTAATTGCAACTTGGATTTGAAAGTAGACCCAATGCCTAGACTAGCTAAAACAAATAAAAACATAAAAACATAATTGAAACAAACTGATAAAAGTCCTTAAATAACTAAAAAGTTAGCATCAACTCCTCATAGCTAACTAGCGTTGACAAGCACCAAACTCCTCACCAGCCTCTATCGTGCATCGCCAATCCATTGATCCTGATACTGACATCAGCTTCTGATACTGATATTAGCTTCTGATATCAGCAACAGGGATACGGTGGAGTCCTTGCTGTGCATCACTAGAAAAAAAAGTATACATATAGAAAAAGCAGCCCACTCATCGAGGGTACTCCTAGAGCATGGGAACGGTTGATTGTTTCTATTATTTGGACTTGCACTAAGTTTTGAAATAACACTCCACCAAGGCCCACTGCCCTAATCAAGAATACTAAGCGTGGACTCCTTTATGTGAAAACAAGAGAAGTATAGAGTTAGAACAAATTTACATGCACTTGGTTTGACTTCAGTTCCTAGAAAGATCATGGTGAGAGATTCACTTTAACTCCTATTAGTATCTCATGAATGTATCTGTTTACGAAAAATTAACACCACAAGGAATTTTTCAATTCTCATTTATCCTCAATATAAAGAAAACATGATCTAGCATGACCTAAATGAAAGAAATTCACCTTCCAAATAAAACAAACATCAAACTTGCAATCGGTGGAAGCTTCACCATGTTTCAAATGATTGCCCTCTAGCAAGTTAAGCATCAATTGCTGCAGTCAAGAAGACTAAATCAGTGCAAGTGTATGTATTGCTTAATATCTGTATAAATAAATATATATATATATATATATATATATATATATATATATATATATATATATATATATCATTCAATTATGATGATATTCAAAGAATCAAGTGGACGTATATAAATTGATGTACTAACTATCAACAGAAAGATTACACCACCAGTCCTTGAACTTTGTGGCAAATTTCAAATGGGTCCCAAACTTCAAATCTTTTTTGTAATTGACTTCCTAAACCATAATTATAAAAAGATTCATTTGGCTGTACAATAACAATTAATTTGCAAACATGGCATAAATATTAACAAAAAAATGTTATCCAACATGCCCATGTTCCCTGAATTTTGTCTTGAATCATATTGGGAATGTCAAATAACTTTTCTCACTGATGTTTTTTCGAGTTGGCAAGCCAATTTTTAAAGTGAAGGCAAGTAAACTTTCCGTCAATGATTATAAATGAAAGCAAATGGTAGGACTTGATTGAAAAGTTAATTAATAATTTTAGAAGACAATTTGGCCAAATCAAAGTTTTGGGACCAAAATGAAAATTACCACATGGTATAATGACTAGTGTTGTAATTTACCTAAACATACATAATACCGAAAAATTCATAATTAAGAAGGCTAATAATGCAAGGATTAAAACACATTATGAAAAAGCTTACTCTACGATAGTTGAAACAGCAATTATCAGCAACATGCAGCTCTGCCCATTTTTTTGATTTGTCCAACTCACCAAGCACCTGCAATTATTTCAGTGCATACTTGACAATTTGCACATTATATCTTGATAATTGCTGTAAAATTCAATGCTTGAAAACAAATGGCGAAAGTTTCAGCCGTTCACTGAAACTAGGTACACTAAAAATCAAAGAATCTTTACCATTTTAGCATACAAAACAACGTAAGATTTTGTTGATGTTAGAACAAAATGCAGTTACTTCACTGGTCAATCATATAACCTCCAACATCAACTCAACATCACTTTATCTAGAGTAAAGAAATAAGTGCTTCATGCATATAATTAACCAAGTATCATCATGTTAACATATATCTTGGTAATACTTGATTATACATTTATTTTATTTTATTTTTATTTTTATTTTTTTGGTGATACTGAAAAGTACAGGTTCATATATGGCTAGCTATCTTGATACAATACTGGTCCAAGACCTTGTTGAAACCAGTATTGGACCAGCATTATGAATCATGATATCAGCATCCCTACCACAATAACATAATTTTGTAATCAAGCCCTCTGTTACCTATAAAAATTGAAAATCAGCTATAATCTAACCTGAACTCTTTTCATGTAAGATATAAGCCAACAACGGTGGGTCCATGCACGATAATTCATCTTTGATTTCTGCAGACATACAAGAATTGAGTTAGCATAGCATAAATAAGGAAATTATGCTATCAAATCTATTGTTCATGCCACAACATATTCATAAATCATATGACAATTAAATACTACTGAGGTCCATGAATATTATACATGGCTTCTAATATATGACATTTAAGGTGAATCAGCCAATTAAAAGTTAAACAAGAAAACAAAATTTTGCTCCCATACATAAGAATTAAATCTAAAAGAAAATGAAACAGATAGAAACCAAGCTCTATATTATTTTCGCAAAAAACTGCACCAAACAAAAATGATCATGCAAGGGATATGCCTAAAAACTTCTGTGTGAGGGTCAAAGAGGACTCGATTGTCTGCTTGTCAGCCAAAATTGATGAGAAAGACACCTCAAATCACCAGAGCCATAAATCAGATTGGTATTTTAGACCTAAAGACAGTGGTAGTGCATTGTGGAGCAGTTGGCCAGATCACAAAATGTAGCCATCACTTGGCAGCTTCTTTTTCTTCTTCCCCTCTTTTTCTGTTTTTCTATTTTCTCAGTCTTCTTCTCCTTCCTCCTCTTCTTTTTCTTACTTTTCTTTTCTTCTTCTCTATCTGTTGCTTTTGCAGCAGACCCTTTTCTTCTTTTCGTTGGCTTCTTTTTCTTTATTCTATTTTCCTTTCTGTGCAGAGAAAATGATGTGGGTGAAGGAACATAGAAGATCTATTGTGCCACTAGTGGTCATGTTGTGCGAAGGAACATAGAAATCAGGGCAGTGGCGCTAAGGCACTCAGGGCCTTTTTTATCTTTTTATTTTTATGATGTCAAACCTTAGAGGACAAGATTGTGCTCATTACTTGGTTGTATAAGCTTGCAATTTAGACTTTCTGTCTGCTTAATCTGTATGACACTAGTCTGGCTCAACTTAGACAGCCTAACTTCTACGGTTTAGTAGCAAACAGAACAGATCAATCAGTTTGTTCTGGTCCCTATGCAACCTCAATCTAGTTATAAACCCAAACAGCTCAAGGGTCTGGTTGTCCATTTTTTGGATCAGATCAGCCAATTCACTGGTACTAATTAACTACGATTAGGAATAAGCAGGTAAGGAAATAGGATTACATTCCATAAATATTGGTCATATTACTTAATTTGTATTAATGGTGTCTAGTTAGCTATTAAATCAACTATAATGGAGAGAACATCATGGACAAGAGTTAAACAACTTAGAAAAGAAAAGGCAATTATTTAGGAGAATATACCTCTGCTATTTTCTCCACAAGATCAGATTCCTCCCTAATAATATCTTGTAAGTTCTGACACTTCTCTCCCAGTATCTTAATAACCCATCTCCTGTAACCCCCAGAAAAACATTTCTTATTCAAACTAAATTGAAAACTAGACCATTCTGAACGATTAAATAAAAATGCATACAATGTATGCAGCCTATGAAGCATAAATACATATATCATATGTTGACAAGACATGACATGGATAAGCCAATACACCAAAACTTGAAAAATTAGGAGCAATACAGCATAAATATCACAAGTTCACAACTATATGTATATATAACAGTTTGGCATTTATTTATCTTAGAAAAAGTATTCATATATCGTGATTTATGATAAATAACAACTGACTAAAACTCCTAACCTCTTCATGTTAAAAAATATTATTTTAGTAACAGAACATGTCAAGAATATAGAAGAGATGATAAGAACCTATAAAAATATAGTAAAATCATTCCAATAATTTTTACAAGATTTACACTTAATACAAACAAAAAAAAGAACTTATCTATTCATATATCCATTTCCATAATCTAGAAGTATTCGAGTAAAAAAGGAATTCTCCCTAAAAGTTATCCTATGTCCCATAAGCAATCTTAAAGGACCAGTCTGTTTAATAGTTATTTAAAAATAGATGCTACAAGGAAATTTCCAATAAGAACAACAAGCAATTTCAAGTATCCATATTTCATGAGTAATAACTAAACAAACACATTGTTCAGTTGGTCTTGATATAGAGGAAGCAAAAAGGTAGTGGTGTTCTTCAAAGGGAGGGATTATACGAGTTTGTCTCATTCCTCTACCAAACAACTTTGGCTCATTACTAACCCTCAATTATTATGCACCAAGCAAAGTTGGACAAAGTAAATTAATGGAGTTGCACTAGTAGAATCATAGATTTTAAAGGAGTTACACATAGTTTAAAACTTAAGGAGGCCTTCCAATGGGGATTAGACATGGGTACCTTGATACCTTGAGTACTTCTTTGAATAACTAGTGGTGCTTGCAGGTTAATCCAATTTTGAAATGGAAAACAAATGAATTTGATACCTGAAAAGAATTCTGGTAGCATGAGTCAATGGCTATGTTAAACTTAATTATTTGGCAAATTTTTCTTTTCTTCAAAAGAAACAACTACAACCAAACGCAATAAGTAATCACGTATTTCCAAATAAATGGGTGGTATTTGAATACACAATTAACTATCACCTTCCATGTTTAACAGTATAGGTTCTCCAGATAATAGTGTCTAACATTGACAATAATAGTTCTTTTTATCAAATCATGGAATGATGAACTGGAGGCGCCATTATTACATATGTAATAGATTACCTATGTATCTATTACAAAACTGATTAGGATTATAAAAACATGTAAAAGAATTGGATAAATTTACTTCTATTTATTCTTTTGACTTTTGGAATTTTATTATAAACTTTAATTTTTTAAAAACCAAACTTTTGGTTAAAGTAAAACACTATCAAGTCCTCTGATCTGTCAGAAAGACTTTAGAGATCTTTTACGCATACAAAGAGTTGTACATCTTTGTTTTTATAAATATTGGTGTTTCTATCCATGCATACTAAAATGCAAAGAAAAAAGAAAAAAGATTCTGTTTTGGATAAATTTATAGATTCAAAATTAGTCTTTCTAATTAGTTTCATCAACAGAAAGAAAAAAAAAAAAGAAAATTACTATTGCAAAGAAATGCCAAACCATATGCATTAACATACATAAAATATGTTCAGCTAGATATTTGTTGAATAACAATATTTTGATTCATTAACATCGAATCGTTTGTTTGATTGGACCGAAAAAAAAACAAAAAAGGAACCTTAAAGCTTAGAATTCCTACAGTGGAAAATGAACTAAAGGTTACCTTTGACTCCAGGCATAATCACATTTTGGCGCATATGCAAGAATAAGTGTGGAGAATCGGAGCTCCTCCAAAAATAGTGAAATCTCAAGTTTCCTAGAAAGCACTAATCTCCTGTAAAGACACAAACTACTGATCAATAACATTTTATTTACCTTGCTAATGTATGCTCCTCTATACAAGCACATAATCCCTACATCTTACACAATATAGTCTATGGAGACTTCAGATTGTTTCATCTTTGTATATGTTTTGCAAAAAATTCCATGTTTACAATGGGAAGAAGTTTAGTCCATTTATTTCACCAAACACTCATGTTTGTGTATGATGTCTATTAAAATTTGGTCAACAAGTTGGCACCAAGGAAGACATAGAATGACAACTGACCTGCAATTCCAAGCACTGGCAAAGTTGAAACTTAAAATCAATAAGGCCTTAGTGTGTTTTAGTATCTCATTTTCCAGAAGATGATCTAAGTTTGCTCCAGAAGTTACACTACAGAAAGCACCGCTGTTCAGAGATAAGTTGATAGAGGCTTTATATCTTCTGGATACATCCATATACACATGCCGAGCAGCAACACATAAATGACAGAGCACATGTGTGGAGATTGCCAACTTATGATCTCTATTCCAAAAGGTTGTCTTGTCATATTGGACTGTATTTGACTCTGTAATACTCGTCTCAATGTTACCATCAGCTAACCGAACTGAAGTTGCGAGTGTGGGAGAGGAACTGCTTGAATCCTCATCAAGAGATGCAAACTGGGATGGGTGCAAAAAGCCTATTTCGTCACTGCACAGAGTAGCAGCAAACCCAAAATGCATGATCATTAAAAATGTAAATTTATAAACATGTGATAAAAAGAAAAAAAAACATCCCAAGCCCAAAAGCACTAAATAGTTATTCCACCAGAGGACCCATATTAAAGAGCATTTTATAAAGTACAAAGAAACCTAGTCTTTACATATCACACCCAAGAAGTTTAAAATATGGTTCAGGCTGGGATTTACCAATCCAATGGCTGACTATGATGCTAATTAGATGGTTTTACCTGGTTCGGTCTGGTATAACATCATATTAGGCTTACCAGGTGGAAAATAGACTGGTACCAAAATGCTTACTGATTGGTATCAGTATGAACTTTTTTTTTTATTTTTTTAACAGTTATTTGTCCTTTTTTCCTTTTTTCTTTATATTTTTCTCAAATGCTCTCTCTCTCTCTCTCTATTTTTCTCTCCTCCTCGCTCGCTCTGTCGTGCTGTCATCACAGTCTCCAACTCACCACATAGTTGGTGTCTCCTCCTCATTCGTGTCATCACCTCATCCTCCTCCTACCGTTAAGCCTCATCCTCTTCCTCCTCATCTTGCCCTCTTTTCTCCACCGACCTGTACTGAGCATCAGTATGTCGACTGTACTGTTATTGCACCAGTGTGGTCATCGACCGAAATTAGCACCAGACCAAGATTTTAAACCATGGTCACACTTAACCTATTTATCAATTACTACATGGTTTCCTGAAAGTTTGGTGCTGAAATGATATTTGGCACGGAAAATTTGTCATATGATGCTGCAAGAAAAAGGGAACATTGCTGAGCTTACATAAGCTTATCTTCTTCCAAAATAACTTCGAATTGCTCTAGTAGATTCGTCTCGTATCCTCCTGGAAAGCTTGAATCCTTCTCCATTATTCAAACCTTCTGTCTCTAGAAACTGAAAGGAAACAAACTAAGAAATATGGGCTCATAATATATACATATATAGGAAAAGGGAATAATGGACACTGGCCTGTTTGGTGCCATCTTTTTAAGAACAGTTTTCTGCTATTTAGAAAAAAGAACAGAAAAAGGTTGTTTTAGTAAGTGTTTCTTGTTTTCGGTCTTTCACAGACTCCCTCCTCAAAACAGTGACTGCAAAGAAAAGCTAAAAAAACACGACGACACTCGCAACCAACTTTGAAGATTTGACACATTGGCAAGCTAAATTATACAGTAAAAGATGAGGGACGACATAAATCGTTACTCCCAATTTGCACACCAACTGATGATATCTCCAGTCAGAAGAAGAAAGATGAAGGACAGCTGTTTGGGCTTGTTCATAGAAAACAATTCGCAACTGTTCTTGGGATGGTCTCCTGAAAGTACCTCTAACCTATTTCCTAGAATCAAAATAGCCTATAGTTCGTCCGGGTATCGTTCTCAAACCCCATCGCGATTGTTGAGCCACATGATACAGACACGAAAGATGATGTCGTTTGATGCAGACGCCACAGTGGCAAACGTGGTGGTGGTGTTCCGCTGCTAGCTTAGACAAGAGGAGACAAGGGAACACATCTCCCTGGCGTAGGGCACAGGGACTTTGCCGATGCAAGGCCAGAGGAGGAAGGGAGAGAGGAGACAGCTTACCAACAACGGGTCGACAGATCAACGCGTGCCGGCAGCCAATCGCGGACTTTCGTCCGAGGAAAGAAGGAACGCGTAGCGGCAGCCAATCGCCGCCGTGCGTCGGGGGGAAGGAGGCGTATGCCAGTTGGGTAGATTCTCGTCGGAATAAGAAATCCTCCATCTAAAATTTGTTTTCTAGTTTTTGGTTTTGGAAACAAATTCCGGCCATTATTCTCATAGTTTGAAAACAAAAAGTAACTCAACTATTTCTTTATTTCCTTTGGATTTTTTCTTTTCATATATATCCTTTAAATATCTAAATATGCTCCTAATTAGTCTTTCAATATACCGCAATCAACCCATTGTACCTATAAGTATTAATAGAAATTGTCTTAAAAAGGTATTGTAACATTAAATACTTTAAATCAAGAATTTAATTTCTAATGCTACAAACGGTACGTACCAATCCGGTATGCAGATCGCTCGCTACTGAGTGGCATTAGCTTGAGTGCATCGAGGGAGAAGAGGAAGAAGGTGCTCAAAGAAGAGAGAGAATCGATAAAATCTCAATATTTTTTGATCCGACGTTATCCTCTCTCAACGATCTCGATCTAGGAGGTAACGGAGTGGCGACGACTCGACTTCTTCTTCGCTGCATTCTTCGTAGAAAGCCAGAGACACCTGCGGCCTTCGTCGTATTCTTTGTCGAAGGCTAAAGACGTCTTCGTCGAACACCACATATAAGGAGAAAATCATATTCTTCTCCACGTTTTATATTATATTATATTATATTATATATATATATTCTTTTATATTATATTATATTATAACATATAAGTATGATTTTATAAGGCTAAAGACAACGTACACCTTTTATATTATATTATATTATATTATATATATATATATATATTCTTTTATAAATATATGTAGTGAAAGAGAAGTACAATATTGATGATTTGAAACTGTAGTTTCATATCGTATTGATGTTTTATCTCCTCTTTCACTACATGTTTTTATAAAAGAATAAATATTTGAAAAGTTATTAGCAAAATTTGAAAAAAAAAAAAGAAAGTCGAAAATTGTTTTATTATTGTTGATATTCTATAGTATAAAAATATTCTCAACCAAGAAAAAAGAGGTGTCTTTTGTTCATATTTTTTTGGTGCAATAAAAAAAACTGGGTTTGTATTGGATCAATTGGTTCTGCCGGTTCTTCAGAATCAATCTAGTTAGATCCAATCCAATAATGGAATTAGAACAATTAAATTAGAACAATTAAACGTCTGGTTTGTAATTTTCCATTTTCCCAGTGACTTCTTTCTTGTTCGAATGATCAGTTCGAAGAGGTCTCAGTGACACTGAGCAAAAATATAAGCATAATCTAAAGGAAAAACATGCTCCACTTTTTCTTATTTCTGAATCAAGCGAGACACAACAGAATAAAGTTATAACTCGGTGTTATGACGCTAAATCCACACTGATGCAATTTTATCTGAATTAATTTTCCTTACGTTCGATGCAATGAAGGGCAGTTAAAATCCCTATGCTGAATCAAATAATGTCCATGGTCTAACGCAATCCCATGATGACCACAATTGGAGATTCATTTACCACCCAAATATATGAGCAATTCATTTGAATGAATAAAATCACATATCAAAACACACCATATACTGAATCTTGTATACGTTCTATTAAAAATGTCACTTGCTGATGGTCACAGCTATTATCTGTATAAATTGGAGTATTCTGCCAAATAATCTGTGACAGGAATTAATTCCTCCCATGTCAACTTTAGCCTAAAAAAACACATAGAGTAAGCTAATTTAAGCAGGGAAAATAACTAATGCAGCTTCTCCAAATGATTATAGAGTCTATAGTTTGTTAGCAAAAGAGAAAAGAAAGAGCCTTCGGGGTTAACAGCTATATTGCCCCTTAATAATGCTCAGAACAGCACTCAACAAAATCTTTAAAGAGGACAAATGGGCACAATACAATAGCAGTCTTAAGATTCCAACTATCGTATGGATATTGTCCCTTAATAATGCTCAGAACAGCACTCAACAAAATCTTTAAAGAGGACAAATGGGTACAATACAATAGCAGAGTCTTAAGATTCCAACTATTGTATGGATCTTGTCCCGTCATTATGCTGTATTAAGGCACTGTCACTGATCATAGTACGAGCAATGAATTGTCAAGAAAATTTCCACCTCCCGCATAAGGTTCTATATCTTCTTTTTGAAAAGGAAGACACAAAATTATCATATCAAGTGAACGAACACAATGTCCAATTGTGTTATTGTGAACGAACAGAATAGCAGAGTTCCACCTATTGTATGGATCTCGTCCTGTCACTATGCTGTGTTAAGGCACTATCACTAATCATAGTACGAGCAATGAATTGTCAAGAAAAGTTCCCCCTCCTGTATAAAGTTCTATATCTTCTATTTTAAAAGGCAGACTCAAAATTGTCATATCAAGTGAACCAACACAATGTAGAATCATCATCTACTTCCTTGTCTTTGCACCTTTTCAGATAATGAAGTTGTCTCCGTAAGAGTAAAACCTGTTATGTACATGTACGAGTTTGTTAAGACCATTCATAGTACAGTTCATAAGAAATGGCATGCCAAGTCATGCAAGCTGTGAATAGCATCACCTAAGTTCCCTTTCAAGTATAGAATGCTTTAAAGAATTATTATAAAAATTGAGTACTTCAAGTTAGTATATGATACAAAGCAGAACTATTTCTGGGGTATGGATATGGTAAGCAATCTGATACATCCATGTTTCATAGGTCAAGAAGAGTAACATTATGACAAGTTCTTACTAGGTTAAGCAAATATAAATACAAGCAAAAGTGTAAACGAAAATAGTAGAAATTTCATAAGTCAGCCATCTCATCCAATTCCAATAAGAGACACTTGATCCTATTTGACTAAGCCATCCTGGTTTGGCAAAATTTCTTAGCATTATGATAATAAATTAGTTGAAGTGGACTAATTAATCAAAGTCAATCAGAGTTGACTGATTTATCCAACTCTAGGCAATTTAATTGCCGTAAAAGTTAAAAAAAGAAATAAAAATACGGAGAATGGAAGTGAAGAGGAAACAGAAACAGAAAATAAGCAAAAAAGAAAAATGTCTCTGATTGTAAAACAAAGAAAATATTGTTTCTAAGAAGGGTCAATGTATGTAGTTTATCCCCTCAAGCAGATTTCCATGATTTTGATCCTGATTACCTTGATCACAAAGGAATAATCCTACCGTAAGACCAACTCTCACCTTCTGTGTTTGGTAAAAAACGAACATGTGTTATGTAAAAGTTTATGTTAAATTTAAAATTTTAAGAACAAGAGATTCTAAATTTAGATATCGGGTACTAAGGTTGTGATCAAAGAGTATATTTTACTGTCACTACATGCTATGCATCCAGGTGATGGAACAAATGGCAGACATCCTAAAATTTATCTCCAAGTAAATTGTAAATGTTTTTAGATTTTTAGTTGAGTTATTCAGACCATTACAAAAAAATCAACAAAAGTCGTCACTCTTACTTGTTAGATCTAAAATGATCGAGTTGGATGTCCAACAATGAAATATAAACAAAGAACCAGTTCCAGATTTTGTACAACCTTAACCCATCATTCTAAATTTTTAAAAGATGATGTTGCCTAATCATATAAACCAAAAATAGAGTAATTGCTTTCAACATACATTTGAGAGAAGAAAGAATAAAGCAAAGAGAAGCCAACCTCTTGTTGAAGAGCATCAGGAAGATTTTCAGTTGAAACAAGGCATTGAATTTCAGACAACAAGCTCTTATCCTTAATGTCCAACCAGGTAGTCGGAGGTAAAGCCAACAATAGAACAGTTAAAACATCAGTGCTTGCAGGGTGCATCACAGTGCAATTATTCAGTGTGGAATTGCAACAGCACCCTGTTGTTGCTTTTGACACAGGTACAAGCATATCAACCTCATGTTGATTGCCACCTGAAACTACTGTCCCAGAGACAACAGTTGTAGATTTGTCATCATTAACTTTGAAGCATTTAATACATGTTCTGCTGCAAATTCCTGAACTAGATGTTAGTTCTCCTGATAATAGTGCTGCTCCTTGACAACAGACATTAGCTGCAATCTCTGATAACAAATGCTTTTCTTCTAGTTTGTGATTTGAGTTTGAAGAAGATAACAAGTCTGTTACACATTTAAATAGCTCAGTCTCATGAACTTGTTGCAGTATCTCTTCCTGTAATCCAGAATATTATGAGGGAATATCCAAAGAAGATATCCAAGATAGGGAAACAGGAGGGAGCAGGGAAAGGAAGCAAGACCTTAGCAGCAAGCCGCTCTTTCTCCTCTTTACTTAAGCTAGATCCATTTTCCTCTTGTCGCCTAACTTCTAAAACCCATTTGATGAAATATCCAGCACATGCAGGTAAGGATTCCAACAGAATAAAAAGAACCTGGGGAACACTTTTTAGGTCCTCAGACTTCAAGAGTATAGGTACTTCATCCATCAAGTATTTTGCCATGGTCACCCATCTCTCATCTCTGCAGCTCTAAAGAGCATTCCGGAATTCACACAATAAAAATAATGAATCACTAACATGGTAAATCACATAGCCGTTAGGTAATGAGCCTTCCATAAGGCCTAGGTGATAATCCAGGTGACCAACCCAAGAAAGTTCACATTTCACAACATCACAAGAGTTTTGTACTTATTTTTGGAAAAGTAACATTTCAATTATATCATGATTCTTTTATATTGGCATTGAGAGCATGCAAAGGCAATCTCGCTAAATAATTTAGATGCTAAAATTATAATACACATCATTATTGCTGGAAACCAAGTTATTTCTATCATTCTATGTATATGCATTGCAAGCACAAATCTATGATAACTTCTTCATACATATGAATATATATGAATACATATATGGTGGTCCAAGCAAGCAAAACCTAGACAACTGATGCTCATTTACTTTCTGAGAACCATCATGATCGACTGTGACAACTAGCCACGAAAGATCCATGATAGCTTGAAATTTAACATTTGCAAGCAAGGGACATAATTTGGTGACATGGACAGTATACATAATTGTGACTGTATCCTAGTTTAGATGTGACAAGTACAAAAGGATAA